GTAGAAAAAAAAATTGAAAATATGTTGGTCTTATATATTGTATCAGTACTGTAAAGAGCACCCTTGGATAAGGTCGTAAATCTGTTATTCCCGAGGTTTCACTGTCAATAAGATAGAAAGATAGAGTGTGAAATTCTGCACATTTCTCTTTTTTCTTTTTTTTTGTTTTGGTTGAATGCAAAAAAAAACAATTTTTCGAGGACTCAGTTGTTTCAGAGGATGTATTACTTTTAGATATTTTGCTTAATAACTATGATGCCTATGATCTTTTCTTTTATGAATCTAATAAGAAAAGCAAAAGCGTAGGTCGATACAATTTTTTATCCTCTACAAAACTATATAATAATCATGTTTATCATTAACTTATGTTTTAGATTATGTAGGATTATGCAGATGTGATATTGTACTCATTCAACTCTGCATAAATTAAGAGGAAATTAAAGTAAATATGATTAGTATGTCATTTGGCAAAGCATAATAAACTGCGTCGCCATCTACGCTTTTATTGTTCTTATTAGATTCATACAAGAAAAAATTATAGGCATCATAGTTATTAATCGAAACATCCAAAGGCAATACACTACTCTTGAAAAATGTTTTTTTATTTGCATTCAATTAAAAAGACAGAAGTGTGTAGAATTTCATGTTCTATCCTTCTAACCTATTGAAAGTGAAATCTACGCATATGGCAGATTTACGAACTTATCAGATGATGTTCTTTTAAAAAAGATTTGTCTTTTCGTTTTTTTTTCTGAAGATTTTACTTTATGAAATCGTTAAGAATATCGGATACAGATTCAATTGTTGCTGTAGGTGCAATTAGATTTTGACGTATTTCAGGATTTTTTATCGAATCAAGCATTCCAGCTCGACTTGAGATATTGACAATACTATAAAAACAATGTTTTTTTGTAATTATGATTAAATATATTAAAAGAAAAAAAAAAGAATGTAACAAGACAACAAACCGTGCATGATCTCGTAGAAGTGGAAATAAAGCATTACAAACATTAATCGTACCAAAAAAATTCGTCTGAGCTGTTATTTCAGCTTGATCACCAAATGGAGTAATATCATTTGACTATTAAAAAAAAAAAGATTATTCTTAACTAACTCATAAATCACATTTTAATTACTTTAAAAGCTATAGCTGCATTATTTATGAGAATATCTAATCCCCCATGAGTTTTTTTAATATGTTCAGCAAGTCGATGAATACTTTCAACATTTGTTATATCTAATTGATGAAATTTTACTTTTTTTTCACTCTCTGGATTTGTTGTTTGAAGTTGTTTAACTGCTTTTAAACCGAGTTCTTCATCACGTGCTAAACAAAATAGAAATTATTACGATTACACTGTGTAAACAGATATTCAAATAAACATAAAAAATGATTATCCAATCAAGGTCAGATCAATCGTAGAAACCTTAAAAATTCATATAAACTTATCATTTAATTATCAATTTCAACCATTGAAATGTTTTGTCAATGTCATCAAAAATAGGTCAAATTCAGTGCAAATTTTACATGCATTAACGAATCGTTTAAAGAATAACAGAACAGGAAAGTCAATTTTATTTTGACTCCTACGTCATAAGGTTGCATGTGAATTTTATCATCTATACAATACCAAACAAATCTATTTTACACAATCAATTAAAATCTATCAAGGACAAAATTAATAATAAGAAATATCGATAATATTAATCATTCTCTCTCTATATCTATCATATTAACAAAAAAAAAAAATATTGAATTTACTTACCAGTTAAATAAATAATCCCATCGAACATCGAACAAAGTTTATCTACAATTGCGTAACCTATGCCTCTATTTGCTCCAGTAACCTTAAATTAAAAAGACAAAGCAAATCAAATTTCTAATACAAAAAAAAAATCTGTTATCTCTACTTACTACAGCTACTTTTTTGTTCATTTCGTTTTATTAATTTTTTCGTTGTTTAAAAAAAAGGAAAACTTTAATTAATCTAAAATTATACATCAATATTTTTATCAGATAAAAAGCTTGACTAGATTAAATGGAATGCATTAAAATGAGAATAAAATATTGCACGTAAAACATACATAGATATATATATATATATCAGCCATTTCCATTATAGTTACGAAAAAAAAAAGGCAAGACTGTCTGAAATTTTTAAATATTCCCATTACCATTTTTCTTCTTGACAATTTTCATTAAAATATTTTCCTGTTGGTCCATCATCAGGTAATGTTGCTAAGAAAACAGTTGATTTTGCACCAATTTCAACTGAATGACCATGAAAATTTGTCAATTCTGTTGCTGTTAAACCAGGTGTACATGTATTAACTTTTATATTTGTATTTTTTAATTCTTGTGCTAATTGATATGTAAACATATTTAATGATGCTTTTGATGCACTATATGCTAAATGAAAATATGATTGTTTACATGTTTCATGAAAATAAATTGAACCAAGTGCACTTGTAACATTAACAATACGTCCTGATAATGATTTTCGAATTAATGGTAAAAATGATTTTGTTACAAAAAATGCACCAAAAAAATTAACATTAAAATTATCTTGAAATATATCTAAAGTTAATTGACTTGGACGTGGTTCTTTAATATAAATACCACTATTATTAATAAGTATATCTAAATAACCATATTTATTTGTAATTTCATTAACAGCTGCATCAATTGATGTTTGATTAGTAACATCAATTTGAATTAATGATACAGAAAGATTTTCAGATAGAAGTTGTTCAACAGCTTTTTTTCCTCGTTGTTCATCACGAGAACCAAGTAATACTTGAAAACCCTTTTGTGCCAGCTGGCGTGCAACTTCAAAACCAATTCCTTTATTAGCACCAGTAATTAAAACAATTTTTTTATTATCATTTGTTGCCATTGAATTTATTTTTCTAAACTTACTCACAAACTACGAAATCTTCGAAAAATAATCGATTGACAATGGGAGGTGAGAGAATGAATGAATTACAAAAATTATTTATGTTGTCTGTTACTCTTTCATTGATTGGTTGAAAACGGACGAATTAAAATATCATTTTTTCTTTTCTTCTTGTTTGTGTTTATTTCTTTTTGTTTTCTTTTTCTATTGTGATTATATATTTAAATTTTCCTCTTTCTTCTAAGAAATACGATCATGTTTTTTTTCTTTTGTTTTATTCAATTTTCTTCTTTAATAATAGATATTTTTAATTAGTAATCGAAATTTAAATAAATGGCTGCAGCGGACTCAGCCCCTATGAATATTGATGATGCAGATACACCAGGCAGTTCATCAACAAGTGATACAACTGTCGGACAACGTAAACGTTTTGAAGTTAAAAAATGGAATGCTGTGACATTATGGGCATGGGATATTGTTGTTGATAATTGTGCAATATGTCGTAATCATATTATGGATCTTTGTATTGAATGTCAAGCAAATCAAGCTGCAGCAACAACTGAAGAATGTACTGTTGCTTGGGGTGTATGTAATCATGTATGTATTAATAAATTTAATTCATATTTGAATATTTTATTTTGTGTATTATTATTATTATTAGGCATTTCATTTTCATTGTATATCACGTTGGCTTAAAACACGTCAAGTATGTCCATTAGATAATCGTGAATGGGAATTTCAAAAATATGGTCGTTAAAAACGAAATATGATGGTGCTTTCTCTCTCTCTCTTTTTTCTTTGAATAAACACTTTTTTTTTTTTTATGTAACTCAAACTAAAACAATTTATTATTTCATTTCTTTCTTTAGATATAAATATGTTTATTTTTTGTTTTTTATTAACCCATTCTACTAATTCTGACATCTTGTACGATTCGTATGTAATAAAATCGTCAGTGGCACTTCAAAGAAGAAATTCTTTGTAACAAATTGACGATTTTGCTGTTACAACACGGAAAGTTTAATATATTACGAGAAGATTACAAAAAAAAACTCGTGTCTACCTGAACATAATGTTAATAATTTGCCAGATGTCGTACCAATTGAATGGTTATCATTATTCCATGCAGAGACAAAATTGGGATGAACCATAAAATCCAATTGATTATATTAAATATGATAAGACATAGAATAGACAAAAAAAAAAACAATTATTTTGATTATTAATTTTACCTTTAATATTTATTTTAGCTACTTATAGTTTATGCGTAATTGAATTTATAAATTCAATATTTCGTTTACCTTAGATTTAAACCTTGTCGTATACATTATTCCTTTAAAAAAGAAATAATCAAATAAGGATTAGTTATGAGATAGACAAAAAAGAAAAGATTTTTTTGTGTGTCAACTACAGATGTGAAATATGATCTATGTCAATTTGATAGTATTTCTTGATGAAAAAAAAATTTGTATACTAAATTTAAATTATTATTTCTAGTTAGGTAATTCAAATATTATTCTCCTGATAGTAGGGCAAAGGTGAGAGGGGTGATGGTTATGTCTATATCGTATTCCGGTGCATTTCTAATTGATTTTTGATTGCTAGAAATTCTAGTAAAGTGCCGTCGGAGAAAACATGTTGGGAGTGCACATGCGTCACGCAAACATCTGTCTAGGGAACAACTCATGGATTTTTTTTTCTTCATTAAACATTATCCTAATATTGATTGACGAATAGTATTATCATTTATAGCAAGAATCATCTTTCTCTCTTTTTTCTTCGTTCTTTCAGTTTCTTTTTTTTTTATTCTCCCTACTTCTATTTTTTTAATGTAGTAAAACATTGCTTTCCTGTGTTCTACTGTATGCTTAAGCGAACAAGTGTCTCTACAAACGTCTGTCGCACACCACCATAATCATCCTTCTCTTACTAGAGACAGAATAGAAAAACTGATACTCTTATGTATATTTCTGTCAGTCAAGAGGTCTTTTTTTTTTCTTCATTCTGTTTTGCATTTTATTTGGCTTGCATCGAAAATAATTAATACAGACATATGCATCATTATTATTTATGTTTTAGATCTAATGATTAGTATCACATATAATGTGTGAACAAACAAAACGTTATTTTTCTCCACGTCTTGTTGATTATGTGATTATAGTTGGTTGTCGACATCCAAATAAATATAATCATGTAACACAAACACCTGAATTACTTCGTCGTTATCCATTAGAAGATCATAAAGATTTTGCATTACCACCAGATGTTATTTTTTTTTGTCAACCTGAAGGTTGTATTAATACAGGTCATCAACGTACAGCATTTCGTCAATTAACATCATTTGTATTTACATTAACCGAAAAAGATTCTAATCGACAACGTTTTGGTATATGTGTAAATTTTTATCGACATTTTTCTCGACGTACATGTTCAATACATAATCAAAATCAAGAAAAAATTAATCAAACTAATTCATCTGATGATACAACTCATTTAACATCAATAACTAATAATGATGAAGTAGATAATAAAGAACATAAACGTAAACGACGTTTAAGAAATAATACATTAACATCTATTTGTCTTATAAGTCATCATCCATTTTTTACACGTTTTCGAGAATGTCTTGTAACATTAAAAACAATAATTGATGCTTGTAATGAACGATCAAGTGCAAAACGCACAGGTGCATCAAAAGGAATGTCTAGGTTAGAATGTCAAAAAAAGAAAAGATTTTATTTATAATCTATATTCATATATATATACATTTTTTTTTAATAGAGAAACAGTTTGGGGTGTATTAACAGGTCAAGCATGTGAATGTACATCGAATTTAGTTGGTCATGAAGTACGAGAAATTGAAACATGGATGTTACGTTTACTAAGTGCACCAGTTTCTATACCAGGAAAAACAAAAATTTTGGTAAAAAAAATAAAATAGTTTTGTTTTTTTTTTAAATTTTATTTTATTTAGATTGAAACATTACCGAATGAACCACCAATGTTATTTGCTTTACCTGATCATACAAGATTTTCACTTGTAGATTTTCCTCTTCATCTACCTCTTGAATTACTTGGTGTAGATTTATGTATACGAGTTTTAACATTAATCATGTTAGAAAATAAGGTAATATCAGAAAGTTAATTATTCATAAATAAGGACAAATTTTTATTCCATACATATTCAAACAATTTTCACATCAATATTTGCAGCTCAGAAAAAAATGTTGTGTTTTTCGAAAATTTACAAACATTATGATTTACAGTTTTGAGACACTCAGAACCTAGCATAAAAGTTCACTAAAACATAATCTTTTAAGTTTAGTTTGAATAGAAATGATTTGTACGTGATACTGAATGCTTATGATGAAAATATAACTCTGTATAAGTCTAATTTTGTTTGTCTTCGATCGAGTTTCAAGAAAAAAAATCTCTGTGTTATCATGCTTGATTGAAATAACCTTCACGGTATATCATGAGAAAGAACTCCATTAATTGCACTCAGAAACACTCGTAGATATGTTTTATGTTTTTCTAATAATCAGAAAACAAACTCCCTAGTTGAACAAGCGCAATATTTATTCGGCCACTTTTTATATGAAATCTTCTAATATAATTTTGTAGAGAATCAAAGGAGAATGTTTTGAGGCTATGCAAAAGTTTCTATAATGGAAGCTGATCAAGAAAAACACGAAAATGCAAATTGTACTATTATTTATGGACCATCTGTTACAAGACAAAACAAAAAACAATTTTTTGTTTTCTAAAATTAGGTTGTATTTCAATCTCGTGATTATAATGCATTGACCATGAGCGTTTTGGCATTTGTTGCATTACTTTATCCACTTGAATATATGTTTCCTGTTATACCATTATTACCAACATGTATGACGGGTGCCGAACAAGTTAGTAGAAAAAAAAAAATATGATTTTTATAACACAAATAAAATTTTTTTTTTTTTCTAAATGTATTATAGCTTTTACTTATTCCAACACCGTTTATAATTGGTGTACCAGCAAGTTTTTTTCCTTATAAAGGAATGCTAATAAAAAAACTTGATGATATATGGATTGTTGATCTTGATGCAAATCAAGTTTGTATCTTTATTTTTCATTCAATCTCAAATTTAATTAGATTGAGAAATAATTTATTTAATTGTTTCTGTTGAAATGAAATTTTTTATTAGTTGTCACTATACATTTAGATGTTTATTAGAGGTAGAGCCCATTGAGTTCGAGTTCGAAAATTTTAGACCCGATGCTGTCAAGCATTTAAATCAGTAAGTTTAGATATGCTGTTAACGATATTTGTGTTTAATAAAAGTGATTCAATGTTAATTTCTTTACATTCCTAATGTGATGTATAGATTCCCTTGACAGAAAATTATTGTTAATAAGCTGTTTCAACATTTATAAGTATACGGCAGAGATGTGCATCACTCACACTACCGAAGAAAATTTGAAGCACGGTGGCTGGACGGGCTGCTCCGCCCCATGTCTCTTCTTATTTGTTCGCCGAGCGACCACGCCTTAATCATACCAATTATTAAACTCTACCGTTAGAATTTTTAAGAAAGAATGTATATTAAACGCTGAATTTATGACATATCGTTTGTTAAGTTTATAAATAAATCACTATTGGCAAACGATAATTACATAAGACGAGTGTCATAGATTTATAAAATGAGTTATGACGTTTTAAAATAATATTAATTGTAAAGATTTGCGGCCACTCTATGATCATAGCCTTAAGACATAATAAATATCTTTTATTATATCTAAAACCAAATAATTATAATTTTATTGTTTATCTTAGATTATACAACCACGACAAGCTGAACCATTTTTTGACATTCCAGAATTTGAATATAATATTTTAAGTAATCATTTAAAACAAGCTTTAAGTAGTATGTCAATAGATCCTGAACCAATACAAAGTTTTGATGCTATGCTCAATGATAAATCATATTTAATGACAGCAAATAATTCTACATCATTACCATCAACAGCATATAATCCATTTATATATGGTAATGATGTTGATTCAGTTGATATAGCTACACGTGTTGCTATGGTTCGATTTTTTAATTCACCAAATATACTTGGCAATTTTAATGAACATACACGAACATTAAGATTACATCCACGAGCTGTTGTAGCTTTTCAATATAGTAGTTTTATAAGATCACGACCAGTTAAATCAGCATTTATTATTCGTTTAGCAAAAACACAAGTAACATAAAAAAAAGCATCAATTTCATTCAAAAAATTTTTATTTATTAATTTTTAGGCTGTAGAATTTTTTGCTGAATGGTCACTTTGTCCCGATAATGTAGCATTTTTACGTGTACAAACAGGTGTTTATGATCCAGCACTTATTGGTGACAAACCAAAATGGTATAGTCGAAATTTAACATCAATACCATTTAAAATTATTGAAGAAAATAGTACACTTACTCAAGCAGTTCATTCATTTAATACAAAAGTAAATGATATTGAACATACAGAAACAGGTATGAAAAGTTTTTTTTTTTTTTTTTGTTTCAAAAAATCTTTATTTTGAAATTTTTTAGATGAAAGTGGAAGTGATTCTGAAGACGATAGTGCAAGTTCTGATTATACATCATTAAGTGATTTTGTATCGGAAATGATTAATAGTGAAATATGTGGAGAAATTCGAAGTAAACACAAAAAAAAAAACGAATAAAATTTTTTTGTTTTAAAAAAAATATTTTAGTTGTTAAAACTTATCCAGAAAATCAAAAAAAAACAGCTTGTGTAGAATATTCAACTGTTTATAATCCACCAGAAGATTTAGAAATACCTGATAGTGGTTCAAATAAAACTCCAAGTCCAAATACAAGTGGAAATGAATCAAGTCAATCAATGAGTGAATCAACAATAAGTTCAAGTTCAAATTCACTTGTTAATTCAAGACTTAATTCACCTTCGAATGATACAAATGATATTATACCTGATCTATCAGGTGCAATACATGATCTTGATTCAAAATCAAGTTCAGCAACAATTACACCTGTTACAAGAAGTTTTCCAAAGTAAAGAAAAAAAAATCAATTTTTAGAAATACAAAAAAAAAACGTTTTTTTTTTTAATTTTTTATTAAGACCACTTTTTGATACAAAAACATTGACGAATGAAGATAATATAGGACAAAGTTCACCTCCAGAAATTCGTGCAAAGAATATATCAATTCAAAGAACTTCTAGTCAACGTGTTCGTACAACGCTACCACGTACCGATAGTCATGATTCAACTGCAAGTGCATTAACAACAAAATCTGGACGTTTGCATAAAGTAGATATATCATATTTGTCCTTCTGTAATACTTATTCTACACATTTTCTGGTTTAATAGAGCGAAATTTCTGTATGAAGAGCATCACCTTTAACAGAATATGACATGACCTAATTTGATCTTGTTTCATTTGAATAAACAAATGTATAATGCATGAAATAGAAAACCTTATAGGAAGAGATTGTCTTTAAGCCAGATATGCCCATCGTGACTAGAGATGTACGAGAGGAGATAATTTGAAGTACACTATTTCAGAATTTATTCATGCTACATCTAAAATAATTTGTCAATACTCGTTTTTCAATTTATTGACGAGGGAAGGTTCCCAAGTGATCCATCACTTTTAAGTCTGGACTATGTGCATTATATAGGCCATAATGAGTTATGAATACCCTGAAAAGAATTCGGGCTCATGACTTATTGCTACCGAGATACAGCATTTTTACGATATTTTCTAAGCCCAGTGCCGTGCTTCCCTTTGGAACATAAGAAAAACTGAGTTTGGAATTGCGACTTGAAACTTTGTGTAGTGGTAGACCTCCATGAGAATAGTTTATTGTCAAAGTTTCAGATCTTCTGATTGCTCCTATTCTGGAATAAGAACCTCGGAATCTACCAGTGGATATGCGTGATGTACAAGCATGCTTTTATCATAACTGTATCCGAGGATAGGAACAATCAAGAAATCTGAAACTTTCACAATAAAGTATTCGCATAAAGGCCTGTCACTATACAAAGTATCAAGTCGCAATTCCAAACTCAGTTTTTCTTATGTTCCTGAGGGGAGCACGGCACTGGGCTTAGAAAATATCGTAAAAATGCTATATCTCGGTAGCAATAAGCCATGGACTCGATCTTTTTTCAGAGTATTCATAACTCATTATGGCCCACATAATATACATAGTTCCGACTTAAAAGCCATGGATCACTTGAGGACTTTCCCTCGTTAGTAGACGACTAGTACTTTTTTTTTGGATCATTTCTCTTAGATTATGTTCTGATTGAAGCGATTAATAAGATAATTCGCTTAAAATCATAGAATATTTAACAATAATCTTTAGTTTCGATTAAGACAACTTTTTTTCTCGTAGTTCCGGTTCCAGTGACAGATACAAGGACTAAAATTTGATTCCGCACATCTCTAATCGCAACACTGCGGAGGACATTGTAAAACTGCATGAATTTGCTTAGTAACAGTAGTTGCAGTTCGATAAAATTACAAGAATGAGATCCGGACAGGTTTCTGAATATCATGGTAGCTGCGGCAGGTTTTCTGTCATCTCTACTTGGAGCCAACAAGGAAATAATAAATTGTAAGACCACATAATCTTGTTAGTCAGTCTTTCCGAATCCTTATACTTCATACAGTGAACACTTTGTTTCAATTCTCTAATATTCAGATCATCAGTTTTAATAAAATGAATCCAAAACTAAAGTTTTGAACTTGATGAATTCTCTCGAAATCCGAATATCTAATCCTAATCAATGTAGCATCATATACAATTTTGTATATCTAAATTAATAAAAAATTTCACTCTATTATATTGAATTATTCTATAGACTGACTCAGAGAGTACAACATCTTCTAATCATTCATTACTTCAACAAGTTGGTGATGAAATTAATTCAACAATGGCTGGTCGAGTAGTTACAAATATGGCAAAAATGGCAACAAATAAAATGTCTGAATTACTCGGTAATTTTTTTTTTTGTTATCTTAATTTTTCTTTTCTATTTGTTTTCATTCCTAGCATCAACATCTGAAAATCCTCGTCAAGCAAATTCTCCATTAATTCGTGCTAATCGTCCACCACCATTTCCATTTCCAAAACAAAATCGTAAAATAGAAAAACCAAGTCTAGTTAAACATGGCACAACAACATCAAATACTTCAAATATTACACGACAACAAAATGCTGAAGCAAAAGCAAATACTCATAGTGAAAATCAACAATTTCTAAAAGATATTGTTACTAATGTTCTTGATGGACAAGGTATTGGTTGGTTAAAAATAAATCGTGTTAAAAAATTAATGGAAGATGAAAATTATCGAAATTTTGTTCTTAGTCGTCTTAATATAAATCTTGATAAAAAATATTCCGATGAAGATGATCATATTGAAGATATTGTATGTTAATTTTTTTTTTTTGTTTTCATAAATAATTTGCTTAATTTTTATTTTGTTATTATAGAAAATTAATCGAGCTGTTTTTAAAGGTATGACAAATATATTACGAGCTGTTATACAAGGTCTTGAAGTAACATTTGAAAATAATGGTCTTGGTGGTATGGCATCAACATTTCAATTACTTGAAATAGCACATACATATTATTGGATAAAAGATAATAAAACTGATTTAAGTCCAATGTCCGAACGAAATAGTCCTCTTAGCGGTAGTCGAGAAAGTTTATCATCAATTGATCCAAATATTTCATCGAATCCAATATCACATTCAACGATTATTCCAACTCAACAGCAACAACAACAGCAACAACAACAACAACAACAACAACAGCAAAGCAATATAACAAGTCCAAATACAGGACTTGTTGCACAATTAGGTAAATATAAAAATTTCTTTTAGATGAAGGTTAAAAAAAAAAGAAAGAAATTTCAGGAAGTTTATGGCGCGAATCAAAATTAGCACTTGCACGTAGCTATGCAACAGCTGCACAAGCAAGTATGAATTTTGGAGGCAATGTTGAACTTCGTACTAATCCAAAGCATTCATTTTCACCTCATGTACCATTTCATTCGACACTAACTGTTAGTTCATCATTATCATCAAATATGAATTCCAATATTCGGCCTATGAATGCAGATCGAATATCGGGTACATTTCATATTGTAAACCTTGTCTTGTTTGTTGTATACCTATATAACTTGTTTTGCATGTGTTTGAAAAATAACATTATTTGATTGATTTTTGTTTGCTTTAATTCGGTCTTTTTTTTTTTTGTAGATCCGGTCGAGGTCAACGGTGATGAATATCAGAATATAGAAATTTCATCTCAAATGATATCTATTTCAGAAGATGGATCGACGAGCAACATCGATGCCAACAGTCAAAAATCAACAACGAACGATACAAGTAAATTAAAATTTTCATTGTTTTGTGAAACACAATCTAAAAGGAATATTGAAGTATAGAAGTTAGAATTTGTAATTCTCCCTTGCACAGACTGTGACTCAACCCGACAATTAATGAGATTTCAACGTTTATAAAATAATTTTACTTTTCAAAACTGCTCATTACTTACTTTAGCTTGGGTTGCGAAAAGTCGTATCCGTTCAGGACACTTAATGCAACAGACTCTAGTCAAAGACTATCACAAACACCTTAGCAACACTATTACATTTCATTATATTGTATGAACCATCCTATGAAACTTTTTTTTTTGTTATAGCGATAGAAAATTATGTTCGACCTGATTCATTGAATTTTACAAATGACGTGAGTATATCTTATTGAATAAAAATTTGTTTTTTTTTTTTTTTTGTTATAAAATATTATTAGTCAACATCGAAAACAAATACAAATATTTCACGTATAAATTCAATAGTAACTGATGAAGAAAATGGAACAGATTCAGGTTCATCTAGTCGACGTCAATCGAAAATAAATCATCATCTTATACGTATATCAAATCAATGGAATGATGATAAATTAAAAAATCGACGATTATCAAATATATCAACAGCTAAAAGTGCTTGTTCTGCTGGATATAGGTATTCAATTATTTATTCTTCCTTGAAACAAACAATGAATTATAGAATTTGAATTCAAATGAAAGAGTTCTTTATCTATCAAAAAGTTTTCGAAATCTTTCTATTAAAGAACGATGCATCAGATCTAATAGAAGATCCTTCTTAATTTATCGCAATCTTGGAACTTTAATTAGTACATATCAAAATGTATCTAGTTTTTCAGGATTTCAGCTGAAAAATTTTAAAAGACTGAGATCAGCATTATTTTTACGCTTTTAAAATTCTAAAAATCTCCTTCCGAATTCTCGAAATCGTTTTACTTTTTTGAAGAACTCTTTTAATTAAAAATTATAAAGATAAATGAGATACAACAGAAGATCCCCCGAAAAATTAGTACCCTTGGACATAATACAAAAACCTAGGATCTTCTATTACACGAAGGAGTTTACTATTTTTCCTTGTAGACATCCCGTTTTTTCTGTCACTTAGTTGTTACAAACGCCTGTTTGAATTTCAGAAGCGCTTTTCAAAAATCTTTGATTTTCTAGGTAAGAGCTGTTAGCGGGATTAAAATATGAAACACGATGTAGTTGCTCTTGGTACTCACAGGGAGATTATTTTAATCTATCTATTTCTGACCATATATCAACAAAGTCTTGTGCAGTCGGTGACGGATTCTCAGAATGTTTGTCACGGTCTGTGATAGTGTCCATTAATTACTAACTAATTATTCATCAAGGAGTCAATAATCTGTCACCAATTATTTAATTAATTAGGCATTAGTTAGATATTAACTATATTACTTTGGTATGAAATTCAGGGTGAGGAGTTGTTTGCTTAACCAATTTTCTTTCAATGGTTTTTTTTTTGTTATTGTACAATTATACTTGGGTATTTGTTAGAGAATACTATGGACTATCTAATAGTATAATAATATTAGCAGATCATGAAATTGGCTTTGTAAGAGAAATAAATTAAAAGATATGTGGAAAAAAAGTATGACATGAATTTTGTCAATTTTTTAAGTTTTTACAAAGAAAAATAAGATGTTTAGTAACTATTAATTGCTTTAGTTACTAACTGAAGAAATATTGTTTGAGATATTTATGTTTAATAGAAGTTTATTCAATGTTATTGCATCTATTGATAAAAATGAAATTTGGCACCAAAGCATTATAGTTAATTAATTAAAATGTCTGTCACGACCTGTGTAGAAGGTTCAAATTTCTACCCTATATACTTCAATAGTCTTTGTAGATCGTGTTTCACAAAAATTAGAGACAATCTAGCCTACCATAGAGTGTGACCTTTAAAAGAGCGATGTAAATTTTTATAATAGAAGGTCATAGTCTATCGGATGATAATCGAGTTTGATTATAGGTGAAACAAATATTGACAGCTTTGTTACAAGTTTTCAGGCTAGTGTCGAGCGTTAAATATATCTATTGATTTTCAATACCTACTGTATTTTACTATTCCTTATAAAATTTAAAATCTATTTATCGGATCACTTCGATAATGAAGAAAAACATCAATTTTTTTTCCACTTTCATTTTAAAATATTTCGCATAAATTTTGATACTTGAATATGATAGATAAGTTTTATTTTTCAAGATATCTTTAGATTGATTTTAATATGATCATATCAAGTAAGTATCATAATTGAAATGATTTTGAAGCTAACAATGAATAATAAAACCAAAAAAGAAATATATTTGACTACAATTGTATATATGATCTAAAAAAAATCGATCAATAATTTTCTTCTGATTGTATATATCTTTCTTCTATAACTTAGATTTCGTAATGGATCAATTTTTCAAGTAGCTGAAAATAATCCATCGGGTGTTAATGATAAACAATATTTATTTGAAGTTCTTATTGGTAGTTCACGTAGTCATTTATGGGATCAAATGCAAGTATGGGAAGATGTTTTTCTTGATGCTGTTGCACAAGAACGTGATATTATTGGTCTTGATCAAGGTCCAGCTGAAATGATGGAACGGTAGAATTTAGTTAAAAATAAAAATCTCAATTAGAAAATTTGAACTTTTTTTTTAGTTATTATTCATTATCAAATGCTGATCGTAAACGTTTAGAATTAGATGAAGATCGTTTATTAGCCGTTATGCTTTATAATTTAATTGCATTTATGATAATGATGCGTGTAAGTAAAGAAGAAATTCGTCGAAAAATTCGTCGAATACTTGGCCGTTGTCATATTGGTTTAACAATGAGTCAACAAGTTAATGAATTACTTGATAGTATTGCAAATTTAGTAAATATTTACCTAAAAAAAAACGAAACATCAAACAATTTCTTGCAATTAAATATGTATATATTCTTTCTTTTTTTTTTTTAGAATGGTAATGATGTTGATTTACGTCCAGTAGGTAGTCGATTATTACAAAAACAAAGTTTTACTGTACATTGGGGAACAGATAATACTGGAGACATGCTTTTTATGGAGGTTAGATAAATTTTTATATGTTTATTAATTGAATTTTGTTTTGTTAGGTTTGGGATGATTGTATTATACTTCGCAGTGTACTTGGTGAAGTTTATGATCGTTGTTGGTTTGAAAAATTAGTTAATATGACATTTTGTCCAAAGACTAAAGTACTTTGTTTATGGCGTAAAGCTGATGGTGAAACACAACTTAATAAATTTTATACAAAACGAGTATAGAAACGAAATAACAAAAGAAATTTCGAATAAACAAAAAACAAAATTTTATTTGAAATTTTTTAGTGTCGTGATTTATATTTTTCAATAAAAGAAGCTATGGAAAAAGCAGCATCGAGAATGAAAGGTTCATTACCTGGTAAAGAAATAATTTGTATTTAAAAACAAAAAAAAAAAGAAAATAATAACTTCTATTTTCTTGTCAAGGTCAAGAATTGGGTGGTGAATTTCCAATAAGAGATGTTAATACAGGTGAAGGAGGGATTTTACAAGTATGCCTTGAAGGCATTTGTTTAATATTTGAAAATGATAAAGTAAATATTAGCAAAAAAAAAAAATTTTACTAATTATTAATTAATTTTATTTATATGTAGGAATTTATTGAATTACAAAAAATTCGAAAATGTACAACACAAAAAGGAGATATATTTGTACTTGAAGAATTTGGTATTAAGCAGCAAAAAATAAATCGATTTTTTTTTCTTTTATTTTATTTTTTGTAATTTTTTTATTAGATCCAAATACAAAACAAATACTTATTAGAAAATATAAATCATCAACGGTAAGGTTTATTTGTTCGTGTAAATTAGTTGTAATATGATTAAATGTTGTTTTACTTTCAATATTGTCTTGTGCTATATGTTCAGGCGAGTAGTGCCCTGCTTGCTTTTCATCGTGTTGTATCTATTATGGTTGAACGTCGTAAAATAAATTCTGCTAATATTGTATCCAATGTTAATCATCATCATACACTGCAGGCTATCGATGGATTAGGTATTGTTGGTGTTTTATAATGTATTGGGATGTTTTGTTTTTTTTCTATTATCTAAAGCTTATCTTAATATTTATGGTTAAAAAGTGAACATAGGAGTTAAAGTTACAACACTACTAAGTCTTTGTTCTAATGCTTCAAAATCACGCAAAAATTAATCTTCTCCTTAACCATTCCTATTGTTACAACAGAGTGATTATTCATTCTAACTGAAAAACCCATTACTGTTACTAATCACTTACTATAAAATAGACTTTCAACAGTTAACATTCTAATAATTATGATTTTTCAAGTTTTTTGAATATATTCAATGCTCGATCGAAAATAAGATTATGGAAGAGTAGGGAAATAAATGTGCAACTCTCTAACAAAAATGCCTTTATAAAATAATGAATTTTTAATGTATTTGAAAAATGAATGTTTCATTTTAAGATTAGTTTTACCTAAATCATGCTATAATAAATCATTTCTTTGTTAATTAATTCTAATTTTAATGTTATTATGATATAAAATATATTGATTTAATTTTAGGCTGATCGTATTTGTTATGCCATTTTATGTGTATTTTCATATTTGGCAGCTGGACATGATCAACAGCAATAATTGCAAAAAAAAAATTAATTTTATTTCGTTTTAACAAATCGACCATAATGTCGTTGATCTTAATATTTTATTTCTCAATTAAATTTAAACATTTTTCTTTCCCATTTTATTTTCAAATTATTACAATGCCATTGTCTTCCTTGTGTCATCATTTTTATTTTGTTCTAGTCATATTTGGTTAAACACTTTATTTGTTATTATCAGCAATACAGTACAAACAGATTGAAGATGAATTTATATGATATGTTCGTATATGTATGTGTGTGTGTATTTGTCCTGCCGTTTTGCTTTCATTTCCTCTTCTCCTATAGCAAACATGTTTTATGTATAAAAAAAACAAGAAAAAACAAAAAAAAAATCAGAAGAACTTTTATTTGTTGTTTATTCATTCAAATTTTGTTTGTCTTTTTGTTTTATGTTAATTTCATCTGATGTGTACAAGTGTTCTTTTATTTCATTTTGACCGATTCCCAAAAATATATTCCTGTCTATATATGCAATATATAATATGACTTCATTTATTTATCGAAAATTTATAACTGAATGAAATTAAAATAATATATGAAAGAAATTACTTGGTAGAAAATTGTATTCGAATTGAAAACATAATGACGAATATATGTATTGTTTTTTCGATGGATATTTAATGAGAGACATATGAAAGTCAATGAATATACTTGAAATAAATTTTCAATAGGATAGTTATTCATTCATATTTACGTGTACATATATGTATATATATGTCTTTCTCGTTTTTTCGAAGGATATTATATGAATAAAAAATTAATATATAAAAAATTTGTATTCTGTATTATTCATTGTTTATGTTAAATTACGAAATTCATCATTGTTCATCCAACGCCTTCACATTATTAACAATTCTAGCTCACTTAAATGATTAATCAACTTAGTATACATTAAGTAATTTGTCAACTAGACTAATAAGTATATTTTTTGTAAAAGATGTGTTCGAGTACAATAATGATATATCATTTTATGAGAAAAATATTTTTCTTTTACTCCAACAAAAATTTTTTCGAAAGAAAAGTTAAGTGTATGAATAAAGTTGTGTTTAGTTTTTTCATTGATGAAATGTGGGCGAAATTTCGTAGAGGTGACAACGATATCAATGCACCAATCTTATATTCAATTTTTTTCGCATTTTATAAGTGTGAGGGAGTAAAGAAATATTTTGTCATGAAATTTACAAATTGATCTTTCCTTTCATCATCTACTAACTTCATATTCTCTATATATACATAGACATACATTGCACTTGAATATTTGACACCATCATTCGTATTTTTTTTATTAATCGTAATGCACGCACTGATATATTCAGTAGTTTTTTTATTCGTTCATCTCTTATGTGGTAAGATAAAGAAATTTATATATGATTTTTTTTATTAGATTCTTTTACTTTGTCTAGTACCAGCAACATCAATTGAAGATGTTAAACCTGTTTCAAAAGCAGCAAGAAAAAATCCTGTTGCATTACCCAGTTATTCAAAATTATTAACCCTTTTGAAAAATCGAGAAACAAAATTTTATGAAAATGATGATGATGATGACGACAACAGTAGCGATCAGAATGATGATGACATATCACGTCAAAGGAAGCAATTAACATCAGCAAATCGGCTATTTTTTCTTTTTCCTATCCAACGTGCTACTCGTCGAAGTCGACCATTATATACCTATGGACAAAAATCTCATTGGGATACGTTTTTTGGATAAAAATAAATAATTCAGCCATATAATATATTTGCTTTTCTAGTTTGCATCTAGTCATACAAACAATATATAATACATGGACTAGTTTTAGTCAAATCTATCTTTTCAAAAAGATTTCATTGGTTTTATTCTTTTTAATTTTTGGGTTTTTTCTTTCTTGCTTTTTAAATATTTGCATTTGAAAAAAAAAGTGAAAGCTTCAAGAAGGTTTTGAATAACAATGATCAACAATTGTAATGATTACATACGATGCAGTATGCTATCTTATTTACTTATGCTCTTTCTCACTCAAGACGAAGGACTTCCTTCTCTATAACAAACATGAAATCGGTTTTTTTTTGAAAAAATATCCCGCATTTAATGTCGTGCTTGAATTGGTCTCGAAAACAAAATACAAATTATTCATTATAAAATAAATAATTTTAGCACACTGCTCGATTTAATCTAAAAGAAATAACAAAATATATTTTTTAAATAAATAAGGAGTGGGAAAAAAGTTCGCAACATTTTTCATATCGATATAAATAGAAAAATTTCTGCGAACTTTTCTCAATAAATTATACCACAAAATGCAGCGTGAAAAGCTCTATCATGTACAAAGAACAATTATAAAAAGATGAAATAAGAAAGAGCGAATTCATCTTTTACTAAAAAACTACAGGGTGGCCCAAAACTCATGCACCCCAAAGAAAATTGAATATCTCCATTATGACTCAAGCAAACGAGCTGATTTTTTTTATCAATGATAGAAGCATGTTCAATGTTGGTATCCACAAGGACATGCCTATACAAAAGTATGTTGCATGTGATATAATCACATTCTGGAGATAAGAGATAGGCTAATAAACATCTATACCAAAGAGGAAGATATAACTACTCCTCTGGTTTCATGTTGTATTCAATTGCTTTGTTTTGTTGTTTTTTTTTACTTGCTCGCAAAAGAATCGTATCACACTTGGAACTTTCGTTTGCTCTTAAGATATAGGGAAGTCGAAATTAAAGTAAGGTTTTCTTTTTCTCTCGAGTGTGGGTTTGTGAGTGGGTTTTCTATGGATGAAGAGAAGATGCATTCCACATCTGGACCCATCCAAGTCGAATTTATTGAAGAAATTGCCGTGAAAAAAAAGCTAGGGTATATTGTGTTGCTGATCGGTTTATGATAAGAATGTAGTGACAATCAGTCTTGACTTTTCCATGAGAAGCAAGAGAATATCGATACGTTATACGCATGTTTTGTATCTACAGAAAAAGATAATTTTATTTTACACATCGGACAGGATTGAACCAATACCCGAACAATAGAAATCCGATAGTTCGAATAAAGAAAAATGAAAGTAGTATGTCCAGGATATATTTGCTATACGCGTAAACTCATAATTTATGTGGACCATTGACGAGAACATCAAAGTAAGGTTGATGTACATCAAGGATCTGAGTATCAGTGTCGAACTTGGTCAAATTTTTTTGATCTCTCTCGGCTCATTAATTTTTTGGTTCGACTCGGGCCAAATCGAACTCTGGTATCGATCAGCTTCTCCTTTCTCTTGAGAAAATCAATTTCTCAATAAGTTTTTCCACTTTTCATTTCGTAGTTGGAAAAAAAGGATATATCCTTAACCTCTTTTCATTCTTGATATTTCGCCGATGTTCCACAGTTGGGATAAGACGATTGTGTGATAGAATTTTTTTTCTTGTTTGTCCTTCTTTTCGTATGTATACAATCTACGATCTTTATACCACCATTGAACCGACAGTGCATTCGATATGCAGCGTTGTCTAATGTCAATAAAGAAACATCGATGAAGTAGAAGAAAAGATCATACGATACATAACTCCTTATTTTATTAACCTTTTCCGCGCTCTCTCATAGAATTTTTAAATGAAAAAAACAAACATTACAAATGCTGTTTGTATCTGTCAATTGTTCGGGCTACAGATCCACCTCGAAATCAAAAAAATTTTTCGTAATCTGATCCGAGTAGGACACTAGTGGATATAAGTGAATGAAATACACATATGCACACTCTCAACTATAGTTGTGTGCATGGGTCATGCAGTGAAATTAGGGCAGCTAATATCAAATAATGATGAAAATAGAAAATGTTTGCAAAAATTGACCTGATGCATATTTCAGAAAAGTTTTCATTTTTCCACAAGACAACTACAGATGATATCCTTGAATTCTACGTAGTTTAATGGATTCGATCATAGGAAAATTGAAGCAAACTTGTTTCAATGGATTGTTCAAGTCAATCGTGGCGATCAATCCAAGTCTTGAATTAACATTGACTTTGGTTCGAGTGTGGAGTATGAGTGAATGCAGGCGTGGATGTGCGTCTTCTCTTTAACCGTACCCACACTCACACCCCACACTCAAGATAGCTCCTCTTGTTGTGGAGAGTTTCAAAATAGTCTAGCAGCGACTTCGTATGCACCTTGCTCGTGCATTCCTCATTCTTATATCAAAGACAAAGGTTAGCGCTGAATCGTTTCATTTATTAATTATTAGGGAGTTGAGAAAAATGAAAATATCACTGATAAAACATTGAAAAATTGTACCAATAGGCAACATTTTGGAAGCGATTTTTAAAATTATTTCTTCAGTTAGTATTACTATTGGCATTACAATAAGATTAGCAGAAAATTATTCATGCATGGTAGAATATGCTCTAGAATATTTAATATTGAAAATAATGCGAGAATCGATCAATGAGTAACAGCGATTTCTTGCCACGACAATTTGAATGAAATGGAGGAAGGAAAAGGGATAGGTTTGCACTTGGTTCTATGGAAAATGCTATTCACTGTAAGCTTCGATCATTTTGATACCATCATGATAAATGGCAGCATATTCTGGGAGTAATTTGTTTCAGCTGTTCTTCTTCATATCAATAGATAGCTTATGTGATCAGGGATGACAGCTTTGTGCTTGGTTGAGATTCAAACTGAAGCCAATGCTTAGATCTTTGTTCGCGTTGAAAAACGTCTTATATTGATATTTAGGAGTGATGTAGATGATGAAACTGCAAAAATCAACTCTGCTACTGATATAGACAAGATTGCGTTGCTAAATCTTTTATCTTTAGTAGGTAATAACTAACATAAAGAGAAACATTTCGATATAAATTAATAGAATTATCTAGTTTCCTATTGCATAATGTGCTTTTACTCGAATTATTTTCCCATCATTGTTCAATTC